AAAACAATAAAATAGGGAGGAAAACATATCCCATTAATCAAGAGGAGGGCCGAAGTTCAGGAGTGCCAGACGCTAAAAGAAAAACATTTTTCATAGCAAATCTATGGGATTGTTCTAATGAGATAACAGGCTGTGACCTTATATGTCAGGCCTGCAATTATATTCCTTACAGAATTTTGGCCTGCCACACTTTCTCTTGTTTCATTAGTATAGTTGATGGGAGGGGGGAATAGGCAGGAGTAGGATTGTGGAATGTGTTATTGTCATTCTTTTCTAGAAGACCAAGATCATCTTTTGTCTCCACACTTTTACACCTGACCAGAAGCAGCTGGTGTGGATGCCAGCGTGGAAGAAGAAGATTGGACCATGTGATGGGTTGTGGGTGTGGGGACAAGATCATTAACTTTTAACTGGATGAGATTCTGATGTCATTTCCAGAATTGGGATTAACACGGATGTGCTAAAATGTCTGCTTTATTAAATTGGAACTTTTAAGGATCGTTTTGCCTTGGACTCTGATTTAATTCTACATGATACTTGGAACGCTGACACAGGAGACTGTGAGTTCTAGTTCTGTTTTAGGCATGAAAGTTGGCTGGGGGGACATTTGTCCAATCACCAGGAGACTGTGAGTTCTAGTCCTGACTTAGGCATCAAAGCAGATGGGTGACTTTGGGCCCAACTCACTTCACAGGGTTGTTGTTGCAGGGAAAATAGGAGACGTTTTAGGCATATTTGCTGCCTTCACTTATTTATAAAATTAATAAAAGTAGGATATAAATAAACAAACCTGAAAGCCATCAGCCAAGCTTAAAAGAAGCATCACATATTCCATAATTTTAGAAAATGTAAATCATTTCCAATATTTTAGTGATGGATGTTTCAAGATAATCCTGGTATTGTCCTTTTAAATGGCAAATTTTATAACAAAGCCTGTGTCCAGAGTTAAGATCTTGAAATTATGCATAATTTTTAAATGCTCAAATTGATTGCAAATTTCAAACATGCGCCGCCATTTTTTAAAATCTAGAATTAGCCGCTAGCAATGGGGACAACTGAACTTTCTGATTTTATATTTGTTTCGGTATTATTTATTGGTCATGGACCAGTCAATTCATAAGCACCTTGGGGGAAAAGAATGCTGGGAAGATTTTGAGGCAACCCAAGAAAGGTTAATACATACCTATGATGTGATTTTTAAAGGTCAGCCTAGTATCTCATGACATAGTTAGGTATGATTAATATAACCATGATTTATGGAATTAACCCAGAAGGATGCTTGCATTGTACATGCAGAAACCTTACATTGATTGGTTCTTCAATCATGAAGTTATATAAACCATGTGGAGCAGCCTTACACATAAACCTCCCTTCCTGTTTCAGATTTTGGCAGCCTCCTGTCATGAATTAGTTCTTCTGACTCATATTCCAGTGTTGGCAAACCTTTTTGGCACCGAGTGCCGAAACAGGAGTGCACACACAAGCATAGGGAGCACCAAAACCCGGAAGAGCAGCTCCCCAGTGCGCACGTGCGGAAGCACCGGAAACCGGAAGAGTAGTTCCCCGGCATGCATGTGCACACCCGGAAGCTGAGCTTCTGGTTTACGGCATGCGCATTTGCGCCAGGGATCTGTTCTTCCGTTTTTTGGCACTCCCCCGATTGCAAAGACCAGCTGGCCGGCATGCATGTTCATGCCAGAACCTGGAAGAGCAACGGGCGACAGCTGGTGTGCTTAGAGAGATGGCTCTGCGTGCCATTTCTGGCACGCAAGCCATAGATTCGCCATCAGTCCCATTCCATAGTCAGAAGGTTCTACATTCTGTAACATTCCAAGACACCTCAAGTAAAAAGGCTAGAAGTCTTCATCACCATGGGAAACAGAAAGTTAAACAAAGGTGGAAATCCCCACGTCATTCTCAGGAAGTTAAAAATGACTACATAATTCAGGAATGTGTTGATGTTGTACTCTATTAAATAAACAAGACTGCCAAGCAAGGCAGAGTTTTACTTCCATCAAGAAATGTTCCCTGACATGGAGGATTTTACATACGACTTCTGACTACGATCTCAAAATCATTGCTAGAACAGTTCTGGCCAATTTGACAACTCCGGTGGCAATGGCGTTCTGCACCCACTTAGAAACCACTTGCCTATTATTACAGATGGCCCTCAACGTTTGACCACAATTGAGCCCAAAATTTGTGTGGTTAAGTGAGACAGTTGTTAAGTGAGTTTTGTCCCATTTGCTGAACTTCCTTGCCGCTTGTTAAGTGAATTGCTGCAGTTGTTATATTAGTAACGTAGTTTATTTAATGACTATGCATCCAAATTTTGATGTGACCATGCAGATGCTACAACCGTTGTAAATGTGAAAAACAGTAATGAGTCACTTTTTTTCAGTGCTGCTGTAACTTCTAATAGTTACTAAATGAATGGTTGTTGAGTCTAGGTGACTGTAGTTATGTTTTTCAGGTCAAAATTTCATCATCATTCATTCTTTAAGAATAATGGCTTTTTTAGCCTGAACAGAACATTATGGGGGAAATGTAATAGTGACCTACGAGAGAACAGATACTGTTTCCCTGAAAATAAGACCTCCCCAGATAATAAGCCCAATCGGGCTTTTGAGTGCATGCACTAAAATAAGCCCTCCCACGAAAATAAGCCATTATTCTTA